AGTATTCTGTAGCTATCCCAAAGTGTTAATTATAACAGGAGCAGTTAAATTCTTTGGAGCAGTTAAATTCTTTGGCTATGAAAGCATAACAGTTTTTAATAGATGTATCACCTGGTAACCTTGGGCATTATTAAATATATGGAGACTAAAAGACATGGTAGAAGCAATGGAAAAGTCTGGCCAGACAGGGTAATTTGTTTTAGACCTATGGAGAAATCTATTAACCATTTCTTCTATAGCCCAATTTGATTAAGAGTAGGACAAGCTGTTCTTTCATTACTTACCAAAACCGTACTGCACTTTGTATCAATTATTTGGCTGTCTGCAGCATGTAGATTAGAATAAAGGCCTTTCTTAGTGTTTGTGAATGTTGTGGATTGCTGATTAGTAATTAAAGTCCTGAATGAAGAAAATTAGGCCCAAACTGAATGGGAATGAGAAAGTCTTAATTCTGTGATACAGATGTTAGAAACAGATTGTCTTGAGCAGCCCATTCAACATAGTGACAGTCTCCATAACCATGGAGTGTTTGCCTCCCATGTAAAACTCAAGCCGAATGCCTTAGAGATGGTTTCCGCTCCCATGCCTTGTGATGTAGCTGTGTGGGTATTAATTTAGTGAAATATCCTGTCTGCCAGGTGTGGGAACTAGCTGATTTTATTGTAATACCAGATCATTACTTAATTCATATGCAACAGAGTGCAGCACATGGAAAGCATTATAAATCTATTTACAATGTGACTGGTCTGATGATAACATTGTATTAAATTCCCAGGTGAGGCAATTTAAGCAATTGCTTTGCCATGTGCACGCCTTGGAAATTAAATTCTCATATACGCTCTAGTAATAAACCAACTTCATTGTTATGCTTACGTTCGTGGTGGGTTGTAGAATCCTCATTCTGATTATGTAGACCCTGTCTCACATGTAGAATGATACAAGAGTCGGTATCACAGATCACAATTCTTAATTAGTTTAAGCTAAGTTAATTCATTTTGTGTCTAGTTTAGAAACTAAACCAGTGCCTGTCAAGGAGCATACTCAGTTCAGTTGGGAAATGTTAAAGCTTGGGTCAGGTAGATAAGATTGTTTCAAGCCAAATTTCCAGAGAGAACCGAGCAAGCGTATCTGTTTGAACTTGGCTTTAAGAAAATCTGCCAGTCAGCATGCAAAAGTCCTCTTCCTACACCAAATGAAAATTATTTGGAATCTGAAATTCTCACTTTCATAACCAAAGACTCACTTTTGTCATCAGTTTAAAATAAGCCATTGAAAGGGTGTGCATCCAACTTCTTCAGGATAACCATCAGTTGTTAGTTTGTCGTATTTTTTTTTTCTGTAGTTCATACATGGTCTGTAGATTTTTCTGTCTGACTATGTCAGGTCCACCTAATTGTATAAGTTAGAAGTTAATATGCTGTACACAAACACATAATAACTAAAAGTGAGGAATGCGCTTATATTTAACGTGTGTGTGTGTGTGTGTGTGTGTGTGTGTGTGTGTGTGTGTGTGTGGTGCAAATATTGTCAGCTGAAGCTTTTCCACCCTTATGGTACAGACCCCAAATTGCAATAGATTACAAACTGCATAGAGTTTCTGTCTTCTCCAGAAGCCACATATAAAAAGCACCAGTAGACAGTGGTAACTGACAACTAAAACTAAAAATGTTGACAATTTCTTGATTTGCCTGGTTAGCTTATGTATAGAAGTCATTAACTATTTATAAAATGCATTATGAATTGGGTTCCTTCAAACTGTAGCTGAGTGTGTGACATTTCCAGCTCAAATTCTCATGCTTGCATTTGGCTAAAGTACAGATTTTATACAGTTGATAATAAAGTAAAATTATTTTAGTTAGTTTATCAAGATACAGTAGATGTTTCCATTTAATTAACTTTGAATCCTGCAAATTAAAGTATGACAGTCTTTAGGAATGTAAGTGAGGTTTTTAAAAGTTCCATAATAAAAGGTAAAATAGTTTATTGATTTTTGGAGGGAAGTGATCCATAAAATAAGCAGTATGTCATTCAAAGGAATTTACCTTTTTTGGTATTCGATCAGTTTCATGTTGATCCTGCAGGCTAAATTATGGTTGATCACAATCAGCTTACTTAAAATTTTAGGAGAAAAAGCAGGATAAATTTTAGGATAAAAAATTAGGAGCAAATACAAATGTCAAGCATTGAAATACAATTCTTACAAAGGCTTGATTTAAAAAAATATTTTTTTGTAAAATGCACGAGTGCAAAGTTCAATTTTCAGTGTTGGTTGTATCGTTTTCATGAGGAACTATTTCTGAGATTTGAAATGAGTTGTCTTTTCATTCTTTAACAGGAGTCAGTCCTATCACAGGACATTTTTAAACTCAGCATATCATTTGCTTAATTATATCCAGAAAGCCATCCAAATGACCAGTTTTTACCATCCCAATGGTAAAGAATGACATTTATAGGGACCACCCTTCAACTGTAGATAAATCCTTAGTTCTCCTCTGTTGCTGAGCGTGTACCCTCTTAATTGCTGGTTTTCCAAAGCAGTGGATTCTAACCAAAACAAGATTAGATATTTAGGGATACATGTTTGTAATTTTCTTCTTCTTTTGAAGTATAGTAAATCAAAATAAGAATATAATGTAATTGAACAATCTATGCCAATTTGTTGGTATTTTGGTGAAAAAAGGGAAAAACAAAAACAATCTCCATATGATATTCTTGCATACTGTGGAATGTTTTAGTCCCCCATAGTGATGAAATGAATAATTAAAAAGGCAGCTCTGATACCACAGCCTGTTTAAAGGTTCTCATTTCCTTTAATGCTGTGAAATACTTTTGCTTAGCTAGTTTGAGACTACTGCAGTGAGGATCTCCACATGGGCAAAAGAAAGGTTTGGCTGACTTAAATATTGTAATAAGGCCATGAAACGTACTGTCCCTGTAATTTAGCATTTGTCAATACAGCTCTGTACGAAGCCAATAGAAATAGCTAATTAATGGCAACTGCAGTAAATACAGTAAGAGAAGCATGCTTAATTAATATGCTGTTTGTGATGTTAAGAAGCCTGGCATGTTCACAAGTGAATGAGTTGGGCCACTCCTGAATTATTGAGACATCTGATATAGATGTCATTACTGACCTCAGGCCAATGACTTAACTTTCCTACTTTGTCCTCTTTGCAACATTGTTGGTTTTATTTATCTACTTACAGACTTATTACATTAGCCAAGAGAGAAGATAATACCCTTGTAGCAGGGAAGGCAGACGTGGGGCAGAGATTCAGGACAGGAATGGGGTGCTACCATTTCCTTAATGCTGAAACATTTGCAATTTTTTGTATCTTTTTCCTGAGTGTATCCAGAGGGTAATAAAATGAGGACATTTTGTGTGTCAGAATGATCACTGAGCTGTGAGTCAGGACCCCCAGGTCCTAGTCTCAGTTTAACCAAAGCTACCAATAGGACTCCATGAAACTGGCTCTTTTTTTTTTTTCCCTAAAAAAAGGATTGTTTAGATTTATTTATTTTTATTTGTACTCCAGTCATCCCTTTTCAACTGGGTTCTGCCAGGGAGTTAAGCCCTAATGCCTTAAGGCTTCTGTTCTATGTAATGAATTAAATTCTCTTATGTTCCACTCTTGGGAGAATTGAGAAAATAGTCACTGAAATAATTTTCTCTGTGTTGTGGTTCTGATAAGGAACCCCAATTGACAAAGGCTGAAACTTTAAAAAGATTTCAAATCTATAGGTTTGTGTGTTGTTTGTTTTTTGTCAAAAGTCCTTTTAAATTCTAACATAATATGATTTTATGTTTAAAATATTATGGTCTCTATGTGACCAAGCAGTGTTACGGGTTCCCTAGTTTAAAAGTGTAATTAAAAGTCTGGTTGACTTCTGCTTGCGGATTATGGGTAGTCCTTTTAAACTATAATAATTTTTCAGATCACAGTTGAACAGGTGAGAAATTTTAAGTCCTCACCTATAGATCCCAGATGAAAAAAGATTACTGTTTTTCAACTGCCATTTTTAAATGGACCATTTATGCTTAGTTAGTTCAGAAGCAGAAAAGGCAGCAAAGTATGCTATAAATCTGCATTTGGGTCTGAAACAGTGATGCTGAAGCCAGATCTGAGGACTGCACTCTAGCTTCACAACTAATCTTCGGAGCCTTTTAGCTTTTCCAAATGTGTGTAATTTAGATAATTCATGAATTGCTTGCAGACGTGTCCCTCTGACTTTACAGGTAAAGGTAGATTTCCTGTAAAACAAAATTTCAGTTTGTGAAACAGTGACTCATAGCCTCCTTGCCTTTATTTACTGGGATTGAGAAATTTAATTTGTTTTAACAGACACACACATACACTCCCCCATACTTTTCCTTAGGCCACTATTTATAGAGGATTTAGAGACATTTAAATTATTGTTTTGAAATTGGATGGGCTTTTAAAGCTCATCTTTTTTTGGTTAGTAACATCACACTTATGAAAGGAATATAGATGTACTATTTTCCAGACACTCCAGTATACATATAGTTGCAGATATACTATAATCCTAGAATTAGAGATTTTAAAAGACCTGTATTATAAAACCCATTTCCTGCCACAATAGTAAAAGAAAAACAAACCCATGGACTCTTGTTTTAATTACAATCTGGTGAGTTTTGCAGATACACAGCTATGTAGCTATATTTCCTTCAGCTTAATGTTCTTATTGGAAGGACCATGTACGGAATAAATATACCAGTTCTGATCCATTTGTGAATATTAATGGAGTACTTACACAGTGCAGAATTTTCTTTCGTTATCGGCATTTGCAAAACTTCTCATTGACATTAAAGTTCTCAAGTTCAAGAACTTGACGCAAGTTTGGTGTGCAGATTTTAGCAAATAGGTTTCCATTAGGGGGCTCTCGAGGTTTGAGATGATCAGCCTTGATACCTATAATGCTTCGAAGCTTTTACTTTCTAACGTTGATCTCGCTCTCTCCCTTTTTGTTTTGTTTTATAGAAAAGGTCACGGATCGCCTACAGTGACGAAGTACGCAATGAGCTCCTCGGGGATGATGGGAATTCCTCAGAGAGCCAGGTAGAATGCTAATCAGGAAGGCCCGGTGGGTGGCTGGAGGGTGAAGGAGGTCACAGGCACACAGGGCTCTCAAGCTGCTCCTTAACAGTATTAGCAGCAACTCATGTGGAAGTGATACTGTTTAATGCAAAGCTGGAGTCTTAATCAACTTCAAAATGTTTCTTGGAGATCTTACATTTAACCCTTTACCTTGTGATCACTGTCTGCTATCTTTAAAAAAAATCTTTTCTTCTCTTTTCTTTATTATTTGGTACTTAAGGAATAACTTGAAACACACTGTTTGCAGACAAAGCCAAGGTCTTCACCTCCAACACATGTAAAAGGAATAAAAAAGTACACAATGCGGCTTTGATAATAATGCAGTATAATTAAATCAACACTTGCAGCAAAACAAATGAAAGTAAGCTTTCAAAATTCTACAGGGCAGCTCAGTCTCTTATTGTGTAGCTTCTTAAAAAATACATTCACCCAAATGCAAATTGTAAGTTCCGGTGTGGAACTTGGATACTCATATAGAGGTCCTGCCTCTGTGTAATAATAATAGTAATAATAATAATAATAATAATAACAATAATAACAATAGGAAAAGTCGTGTTGCAGTTTAAGATCTGCATAGGCAAAAATAAGATACAATTCCTTCTTACAAGGGCCTAAAACTTGGCTGTCAGCTCTCATTGGATCACACAGTAGTGCCAGGGGTCTAATTAATGGCCCACTCCTTTCTTTGAATTAATACCGTGGATTTCATCAATTCATACAGATAATATTTATGACTTAAAAAAATGTTTCAAGAACCTCAGTGCAGAGATGATTTTTAAAATGTTTCCAAGAACCCCAGTGACTGATTCTCTTTGACACTTTTAAAGAAAATAAATGATAGGGAACCTGAGAAGCAAGACCTGAATATGCTTACTAGTGTTACCTTGGCAAGTATTATAAAGGCCTCTACTCTGCCTACATAAAATGAACATAAATCATTCATTGAGTAAACCAAAATTTTTATAGGATAATAAAACGTAGTAATATATTTCTACACACTCGAGAAGTTGCATAATTGTATTAACCATTTCAAATAGATTGTATTATAGGTTTATATATGTTGAAACTGTATCACTATCTACTGTAACGTTAATATTGTAGCAGGGATGTTGCTTAAGTGATTAAGGCCCCCATCCAGGGACCCAAGAAACGGGACAGGAATCATTGCGCTGACGATGTTTGTTTTTGAAAACATCTCACCTCCTCCACTATATGGATGTTCTCAGCTTAAGTTCTGACATGTAAACACCTTAAGATTTGACTTGAGATTTTAGCCTCCCTGACTGAAATGTGAGAATAACCAAGAGAAAAGAGAAAAATATGGAGTACATCAAACAGAGAAGGGTGATGTGATAAAGGGGTTTTACTCATCATAGATTAAATAATGAAAGGCTAAGAGAAAAAAAAATATTTTCTTCCCATTTTAAGTGAGATTTAGGTTGCTCATACTTCTTGAATGAATCATAATTTTATTTCCTATCTGCACTGTACAAAAAGCATTACCGTTTTTACAAAAAAGTGAATGCTTGCTTCCCATGTCAATTCTTTAAAAAGCTACAGATCTTTCCCTCATTTGAAACCACTGCCTAATAGAGAGGGAATGGCGAGGAAGCGGTATTCCTGTCTAACTCAGATGCCTTGATTGTAATGGCTGTTGTAACACTGTGACAGGGATCCTTTTTTTTCCTCCCAAAGCATGTTCACTTCTCTTAATGGACATTTTATGTGCCTAAAACATTTATCTTACGTACATATAACTATGATTTTTTTTTTATGCCTAAAGAAAAATATTCCACAAAAATAGATTGAGTTCATGTTTTCTGAATTTTTCAAATTACATTCCTGTCACTTTAAAGTGATTACACAGAGATTTCCCCTGGACTTGTATAAATCAAACTTACAAATTCTGAAAGTGCTTGGAGAACCTGAAGTTTAGTTGTAAGGAGCTGTCACTTCAATAAATAGAGTATGATAAATTATAGTCATGAGACTATGTAACTGTTAGATTATTACTTATGTGAACTTTTCAGTCTAAAATTTGAATTAGGTTTGAAAGTTCAAAGAAACCATACTTAACTTTTTAGTTATTTAGTTACCAACTGTAGCAAATTTCCACATCATAATGAAGAAATTAAATTTTCTTTTGAGGCTCTTTATTATAATATAGGAATTAATATCCCTCAAACTAAAACATATATGTCCTTAAACAGGGATGTCTTGAGAATGACTCTTTATTCTGAATCAGTGTTCATTCAGACTATGCACTCAAAACAGAATCCCTTTCTTTAAAGGAAGAAAGGATTTTAAGTTGGCTATTCATATTAATTTTTATAGCTCGTGACCGAGAAGATTTTTTTTTTTCTGGACAGGATTACCTGTAATTTATATAAGAAAATATTTTCTGCCTATAAGTAAGTTAATTTTCAAGTTAATTGTTGATAAATTGATTTTTAAAACTTCTTGGCTTATCATAAACTTTAATATGCAGAGAAAACTTGGAGGTAAGCAAAATGAGACAAAATAGTAATATGTATTTCACTGAAATTGGGGTATACCTCAATTTTTTTAAATTTATATATCAGAAAAGAAAATAATAAAGAGTTCATAACAATGGTTACAAATAGGTAAAATAAACTAAATACTGACTCTTTAGTTAATTTTGATGCAATGTACACATCCTCCCTATAGTGGCTTCTGTGTGGAGGTTTAGACAGATGTGAATGTCATAGCCATTATTTCTCATTCTGACCATTTATAATGAATTTCTTAAGCATCTAAGACCTGGCTGTTTACATACATAATTATAATCTGGCAATTAACTAGGGAGTATATTAATTTACTCATATATGTAAACATTTCTGCCATGATTAGAAATGTCAGAAATCAAGATTTCAGAAATTAAGATTTTTTTCGACTGCGCCTTTAATGTGCCTCATACAGTACACAACTTTGTTTAATTCTAAATTAATTACTTTGTATAAATTCATTTCTGATTCATATCCATTTCATACAATCAAATATAGCTCACACCTGATATACAAAGAAGGGACAAAATTATCTACTTTGTACATTCAAGTGCTATTGTTGGCTCATCAACTTTCTAAGGACTATTGTCTTAGGCATTATCATTCCAGTCTTTTAAAATCGCTTATTTTCCAGTCTATATGGCAACACTAATATTTGAGAGAGTTGATTTTTTTTAATATAGGTATTTAGAGTAGAAATCTTAATAGTTGTTAACTTGATGTAGTTTCATGAAAACCGTTCTCAGAAAAGAAAAAAAAAAACCTTATAGAATTAAATCCCCTTCATAGTGAAGTATCACAATGGGGCAAATACAATGTTCCAAGCAACCCTTTTGAACCATAATGGTCTCTCAGTTTCCATATGCAAAATTATATTGATCAGCGAATACATCTGAGTAAATGAAATTTGAGCAAATCTTAACTAGAAGGTACAAAAATATATGTAAAGAGAAGGATATTTCTAAACGTACCAAAATTTTTGTGGTAAGGCAATATTTAGCAGATAGAGGATTGCTTAATTTTTTAATATGAGGTTCTCTTGAGTTCCAATTTGGGCTTGCTGTGCATAAAGTGTGTTAAACTTCAGCCACCAACCAGGGGGTGAAGTCGGTCAATTTAATTCCCCAGGATCTAAAGAAGGTCGGTATCATTTCATATAGCCCTGGCAGAGCAGATCATTACCAGGCACAAATCTGTTCGTTACGTGCTGAGGGTTTATAGCAAAATAAATAGACTGTCATCATAAGTTCAGAAAATTGTGTGTTCGACCCACGATAATGTGTAAAGGGCGTTTAATAGAGTTCAGCATTTATTCGTTATCTGTATGCGGACAGAGACGGCAGTCGCGTTATCAGCTTTAAAAAAAAAAATTCGGTAGTTCGGGGGGTCACGTGACGCACCTCACACACACACAGGCGCGCGCGCATGAACCCTCACATGCTCTGCAGTGCAGTTTTGATTTTAGTCACAGCAGAAGGCTTAACCACAAGAGATTCCACTGGTTCAAACCAGCGTAAACCAGATTTTTTTTCAGCCCACAAAGGAACAGATTACCTCTTGTATCAAATTCTGCATTGGGGGAAAAGAAATCTTTGTTTCAAAAAAGATGTTGATTATCATAACTCAACATGGTGGCATGGCACACTTTCATGTCGCCTATGATGGAGCTAGTAACTCGAGAAAATATGAAATCACTACTTGCGGTCTAGTCTAAGCATTGTTAATTTTCAAAAATAGACCATCTTTTGTTTACTTGAATGAAAACCCTCAGCCCTAAAAAAAAAAAAAAGAAAAAGAGAAAAAAAAAAGATAAAGATTAGAAACCCTCCCATTACCTAGCTTAGCTACAAATCCGGTGTAGAGCTTGAAGGCAGCCATGCAGCACAAACAAGATAGAACGTTTTTTGTTTGGAACCTATTGAAAAAACAAATGGGTAGCATTTTTAAACACTCATTGATTATGGCAGGGTGGCATGCTCCAAATGGTCTCCATTGCTGAGGAGTAGTTTTAAACTTTGGCCCTTTAAGTATCATAGTCAAGCGAAGAATGGTGCCCCCAGAAAGAAAAGATAGCCGTGCGATCAATTCCCAGATCGTGTCTTTCTGAGAATTAATGTTTGCCTTTTTCTCCCATGATGTTCGGGGAGCAAAGAGAAAGATTCCGATATATGATAGGCTAGGTATTTTCGTTTAAAATTTTACTTCTTCTGGGGAAGAATAGTAACTTTCCACATGAAATGATGAGGTGCTTTACTCATATGCACTGGATGGTCGCTGAGAGAATGAACGTATTAACTAAAAATAATGACAACTTCTTATATATTTTGAAAGGACGACATTAAAAGTTTCATTTTCTCTAAATGCACTTTGAGACATTATGTAATAGGCTCTGTACCCTTTTTCTAAAAGACTCAAACCAATTTTGAAATCTCATCCTTTTGTGCTTGAAATACTTTTCATATAACAAATGAAATAACAGAATAAGCTGGAATGCATGCTGCCTTCTTTGAATTGGAGACAAAAACCAGCATTAAGCACTGAGAAACCCGGGCTGTAGTAAACATGATACTTTTAGAGAGACTTGTAGTGAGCAATTTATAGCACGTTTCTCCCAAAGCAATAGTTTAATTTATTGGCCTGCATATGTCAAGTGTTATAACAGATGTTACAGATATTTGGATGTTTAAAAATTATCAGTTGTAGACCTGGATTGCTGAGGATGCACATTTCAGATCTAGGATGTGGTTTATAGTCTTACAATACAGGTTTCAATTTCTATTCATTGCAGAAGCTATGGCAGCCATCTCAACTATACAGTGATATTTCTGCTTTACAGTACTGTCAGATACACCTACACACACACATGTGCGCGCAGACGCGCGCGCGCGCGCACACACACACACACACACACACACACACACACACACACAATGAACCAGATACATGGTTATATCCTTTTTCCAGTTTCTAAAGAGTTAATTGACTTGTTTTATCTGTTAAGGCAAATAGAAAAATGTTCTACAGAGGAGAATTCAAATGGTATCACAGGAAAATTTACTAACAAGTAAAGAGCGGTTTGGGTTTGATTTTAGTGAAAACAGACTGCAGTACAAATGACATAGGAGAGCTGATTGCTTTGAGGTGGCCCAGTTTATGAAATGAAGAAAATTGAAAAATAAAGAAACTTCAAGAATTAAAATAAAAAAAAACATGTAATGGCAGTAGGCCCTCTGAAGCAAAACAAAAATCTAGAAATTAACTCTATTATATACAATATTTGTAAGGATAGTGAAATATATTCTGAGACCATGTCCTAAATATTATCTATCCTGGTATGCTTTATTCTCAATGAAAATAATGTTATCTCCAAATGCAGTCTTTTTACCAGAGCTGGTACAAATATGACGTTAACTAACTTGATAGTTTGTTGTTTCAAATTCTTATTGGGACAAAAGCATGAACTATTAATCATTTTCATTTGTAGGTAAACTCTGAAATCAGTTGTCAAGATTCAAAATAGAGAAACATCCTGAAAACTTGTATATACAAAACCTCTTCAGTGGTGCATTCTTAGAAGAGAGGAACAGTAAACTTGTTTTCTTTCTTTATAATATAGACTTCTATGAAGTCGTTCCCCTTTATTTCATGATGGTGTCTTAGATGTACTTTAAAAGAGAATTTCACACTATTCTCTTTGTTTAATGTGACAGTGTGAGAAAGTGATCTTTATTCGTTCAAAAAACTCTGCATGTAGTCTGTGTTTAGGTTCTTTTAATGTGTTTGTCTGTGATTTTTAAATGCTAAACATGTAAACAGATAAATTGTCAATGTTAATTCTGTATCCTGTCACACAACTGATCTTTCTTTCCTGCCATTTCTTTCCTTTTTATCTTTTTTTTTTTTTTTTTGGTGCATTCATGGTGCAGTTGATAAAATTACGTGAAGAGGTGAGTACTTCCTAGCTTGCTTTTTTTTTTTTTTTTATTCTGCTTTTCCCTATAAAATTGAGTTTCTAAATCTGAAGTCAGATCTTTGGGTTCCTTTTTTTACTTTTTTTTTTTTTTTTTTTTTTTTTGGTGCATTCATGGTGCAGTTGATAAAATTACGTGAAGAGGTGAGTACTTCCTAGCTTGCTTTTTTTTTTTTTTTAATTCTGCTTTTCCCTATAAAATTGAGTTTCTAAATCTGAAGTCAGATCTTTGGGTTCCTTTTTTCAGGAAAATCTACACATAACAAAAGTATTGATTATATTCCTAGAAATGTTCCCTGATGATTATTTTTAGAAAAACAAGTATATCCAAATCATGCTTATCATAGTGATCACTGTTGTTTGTTGGTGTCGGAAGAAAATTCATATTTTAAAGGCTCAAAATGGAAGAAAAACAAAGGAATCTCTTCAAACTATACCTGAATGGAATTTTAAGGTAGACTGACTTCAGACTTGTTTTATTTGTATTGGTTTCTCAAAGAAGTTGATGATGATTAAATTTTTTTCTGACATTATGATTTACTTTACTAAAAAACTGTTTCTAAATAAACTTCTTTCCCTCACCCCAAATTCTTAGGTTCAACATAAGGTACCATGAGTCTATTATCCTTTGGGGGAAACACACATATGTTATAAATGCCCTGCTAGCCTGTGTACACAGATACCTAAGAATAGCCAAAGGTCTCCTCATCGCTAAACACTTTCCTTTCTGGAGGAAATAGCACCCAAGTGAGTTCTTATTTTTCGGAGTTTGCTAGCCTGTTTCATAATGCAGCTTCAGACTTTTGTGTCCCAGCAAATATTTATAGCAATGTTTATAATTTTATCCCCATATCAATGAGGGATGCTGAATGAGTCAGTCTGTATTTTTTTTTTTTTAATTAGGCCAAACTTATCAGATTTGCTGTGGTACTCTTTTCAGAGCTAGAGTAGTTTTATTTTTTACTTAGTTTGAATGGGTTTTGTTACTTTTATATTAGGGCATGAAATAATGGCCTGCACTGCAATTTAAAAATTGTCTAATTGCATGTGTTAATGAGAGTACTGTGAATTATTTTCAAGTTTCGATGGACCGCATTGATTGAGATTTTCCTGGAAGTTACTTATTGGTATGTCATCATGCTCTAGGTGATGCGAATGCTAATTTAGAGGCTTGTTGATAGTAGTTTTCAATAATTCTCCTGACTGAAGATCCATGAGCGATGCCTCTCTTTGTAAAAGTAATGATGACATAGAAAATGAAGGGTGTAAATACACAAAACCTGCACCCTCTAACCTTTCTGTGTTTTTATCTTCTCTACGTGGAAGCAGATGTATATCCTAAGTGAATATAATCGATTGCAGTTTTGATATATAAGATTATTCCTCAGGAGGTGATAATGCATCAACACTGTTTTTCTGCAGCACAGACTATCTGCTTGTGTGTGTTTGCATACGCTCATGCTTATGTGGCGAACCTGAATGTTCAGATGTCATTGGAACTAACAATAGACTTAAACCTCTATGTGAAGAAACTACATGAAGCTCTGGCCCCAAAATTTAGCAATAATATGATTAATAAAACCATGTGCCTTATTACAATCAACATATTTGACAGAAGACCTGTTTTTGTTCAGCTGAATTGTGTGGACTTAAAAATCTTAATTCTGAAAGCTGAAAATGTCACATCTGCTTTTCTTTTAAAATATGTTTTCTCATCATTTTATGGCTTAATTCTTTTGTTGTGCCTGTAACAGCAGTCTCATCGTTATGTTTCTGGAATGCTTTAACCTGGAATGGAATTGTACTTGGAAGAATTATATCACTCAACTAATGGAATAATATGCTCTGAAATAGCCTTTTAATAATCTTTGATAGGGACGTAGCATTGATATTTATAGAATAGATTACTATGATGAGAGTGCATTGATCTATGGTTTGCTAAGAAGTAATCGTTTCTCAGGCAGGATTCTAATAGGAATCAAACAGTGAATGTCCCCCAAATTTCTTTCTTTTATCTGTCCTAAGAAGACAGGCACGGATCTCCTCCAAAATAGGATGTTTTATTGTGTTTGGAAACAAAGCATGTCCCATCCCTTCCTTGTGAGGCTCTTTTCGGGCTCAGTTCTGGAAACGGGGCGCTTGGAGGCAGGCTGGTCGTCACGGGGAGCTGCACTGCGTTGGCTGCGCCTCGCTCTCCATTTCAGTCCTGCGTCTCCTGCCCTCCACAGCTCCTCACAACAAGTTGAGCTCTGTCTGAAGCTCCTGCACAGCTTTACTTACCTGCTTTGAAAAGGGCTGAGAAGAGGGTGAGAGAATGAGTTTGGGATGGAATGTGTGGGCAAGTTGAAAGCATCAGCTGCTACTGTAGTGTATTGCCTTTCATTTTCAGAGACCGGGGCAATGCGCTACTAAGGGAATGATGTAAATAGCACCGCTGTTACAAGAACTTGATTTTAGCTTGACTTAACAGAATAGCTTCGAAAATACAAAGTGAGGTCCTGCTGGAACGCTGCTGGTAAAACGATAGTCTTCTTGTGTGCAGATATACTCCGATAAAACTGAACTGTCCCGAGGAGGAGTTATTTCCGCTATTTAGGAATATTCATTAAAAAAAAAAAAGAAAAAGAAAAAGTTCTTTTAGAAATTTTGCTCCCCGTTATAGCCACACACTGAATAATATGATTTGGCCCCCTTTCGTGGACTCCCCAAATCATTCCATTTTTAAATGCTTTGTTGCCTGCATTATATATTATCAACTAATTAGACTGTCAGTTTCCAGTATTGATCTTGGATTTTTTTTTAATCTACAGGAGCTAAATGTTTTAATTGAGGGATTTCATCCAATATGAAAATAGCTAAAAATCTTTGTTCTGTTCTGCATGAAAATTCAGATTTACTGTTAATGTCACAAATCTCATATCTTTTTAGAGAATCACCAATTTGAAACTAAGTCTTTTGTTAAGATAGAAAACAGTATTCAGAGCCTGGAAGAGTAAACCTGACTCCCAAAAACCTGCATGTAGGGAGAATTAGGAGTAAGAAGGCTATTTTTGACAAGCCGAGTAAAGTGTTTCCTTTTATTTAAAAATCATCATTAATGCCAAACACACACAGCCCCCCTTGCTTTTCTTTTTCTCAATTACAGCCTTTAGTGATTTTGCGCTTCCATCATATAAGCTTTCCCTTCCTTCCTCCCTTTTATTTATTTAGTTTAGGTTTTTGTTTTTGTTTTTTTGCAGAGGGTGGGGCAGTTTTCCCTCTTAATTTCTCCACCGTATATTAGACAACTCTATTAATTATTATGGACTGTTGTTGCAGCTTTCCTGACCTTCACATCAGGTCCTATCTCTCTATTCTAAATGCATTGTTTTAATGATTCTTCGCCCCATCCCCCCAGCCCTTCCCCCAAAAAATATTTCAAGGAAAGCTTTGATGTGGCTTTAGCTGCCTCCAACGTCTGGCCGCATCTCAGATGTGTCACCTATGCCGGGAGGGAATAAGGAAATCACGTTTTGAATGGTAATGATAACATACTAATCACTTCCTTTCTTTGAAGATGGAAGCGAGATATTCTGTCAGCATCCCTGGCTGCTAGAGCTTGGAGGCACTGGTCTAGGTGTATTAGCTTAAGTGTGCATGTCAATACAGCTTGCATCTCCACGATCCATGGGGGCTCATTAGAGCAAGGTAGATCGTTTCGCTCGACAGCCACTCAGATAATATGTGTGGCACCTCCTTTTTTATTATTATTAGAAAGCATTTCTTCTATTTTAAATGACATCTGTCAACAACACAAAGTTGTAGGAGTTGTGGTTGTAATATTTCTTTTTTTTTTTTTGACCAGATACACCAAAACTGATTTGTGGGGCAAAGGTACTAATTTATACAAATCCACGTGTGCATATATACACACACAAATATATGCATACATATATTCATGTATTTCTAAGTATCCAGACATACACACATCTACACACACACACACACACACACACACACACACACGCACGCACGCACATATTCTTCACCATTCACAGCCATGATTAGCTTCCAAATCTGTTTGCCAACCTGAATAGATCTAGTGTAGTAGGATCCTTATGATAAAAAAAAAAACAAAAAACACCTCAATGTAGACAACAAAGTTTAGAAGCTGAGAATTTAGGGAAAATCCTCTCATTTCCCAATCAAATATAATATAAAAGAGTGTGTATAATTATTATATTAGCTAAAAGTCCTCAAACACTATATATAAAAAGTTTACCTTCAATCTAGTACATAAATCCACAGTTTCGTCCATCTGTGTGCATGGAGACACATGTACCTTGTTTCATGGTGGTTGCCCCGAGTTGTCTTAACCTAAAACTGCTGTTTAGTATTCTGTTTTGGTAGCATATGTTCTCTATGGCATTTTGTCACACATCCAAAATTGAGGGACATTCTCTTAAAAATCAAGTCCCTGTTTAAAAAATACTATCCGCAGAAATTAAAAGAACAAATGAGTTTTTTAGATGATTGCATTTTATAAAAAAATAAATACAAAAGAAAGATCATAGATATATGCAAATATCTCATTCATCTACCTCTGCTGAAACAGGAAAGATCCAGTTAGCTCTGGTCTTAACACATTTCTCAGTGTTTTGGAGTAAGGTTTATTGCGGCCACATACAACATGAGTCTGCCTTTTAAAACAAAAAAGCGATGGTCCATACGCAATTGATTGGAAATCTGTCGATTGTCGTAGTTCTTATAATGGAAGATTTGCTAAACATTATCTATAATGGGATGTGACCCCCCCCTCCCCCATCCCTAAATGTTAGAGCATACAAAAGCATTATTTTTTTTAAGGCAAAAAAAGAACATTGTAGACGGCCGTCTGATTTTTTTCCCCTTTTTCTTTTTCAGAGGGCACATCTGCTCGATAACACAGAGAGGCTGGAAAGGTCATCTCGCAGACTAGAGGCTGGATACCAAATAGCAGTAGAAACCGGTAAGAATTCTGAGAGTGAGCAAATTGTCTTGCTTATGCACAGCAGTCTTCACAACACATGACATTTCAGGGTAACTTCAAAGGAGTAGCAGAGACAGCAGCCCGAGATGTGGTTTACATATTGGGGAGACAATTGGGAGCTTATTTGCGCTTATCTTTTTTCAAGTTAAAAGGCATGACATCTACTGAAAACAGTTCCTGAGGTTTAAAAGTATACATCTGAAAAGAGATGGAATATTTTGTCTAAATTCTACATTTGTCTTAATATGCAGTTACATGTTGTCAGTTTACCCACCCGCAATGATTGCTAGCACACAGTGCAGTCTCCAGTAGTTTGCTCCGTTACGTTTATTCACATATGTAAAAATTAACATTTTAATCAGTCTAAATGATGTGAACTAGGAGCAAAGAAGTAACAATCCCCAGTTTACCTTGCTTATTTGTCCTGGTGTCGGAAATGATAGCTAATGATCGTATGTATATATATTTTTAAAAGCATGAACAGAGCCTATAATCAGATATCGAAAAAAAAATCACAGTAAGCAGCAAGGCTAATAACACTCATGATAATCTTATTAGCATTAGTGTATACTGTTCAAACTTTTGATTTGAATTAACACTAGTTATTATTTTCAGAAAACAGCACTAACTTAACTTCTAAGACTCATCTACTTAAAATAGACAAGCTTTTTTCATTATAAATGTTTCATGCAATGACTGCTTGTTTTTACGTAGTAAATAAATATCCATTAACGCCATCGTTGTCATTAGATTCTTATTATTTGCTATCTTTTTTGTTTTGTTTTTGCAAAGTATAGACTATGTATGATCTATTTAACATATTTTGGACAGTTCTTTCCCAATGTGTAAACCGCAAAGATATATGATTAACAACATTTCCATCATTTTTTAAATGTAATGTCACAAAATAATGTTTATTTTGGAAGAACAGGTGTAATGAAAATTATTCCAAATTTCTTTTGTTCATGGCCAGTTTCTTCTTGCCCTGAGTTCATGGCTGTTCTACATTGGCTGGCTTATGTGACGAATTCTAAGAAGCTGAATAGGAAAAACACAGATGGCACTGGTATTATAGTAATGGTGAGAAAACTAAAGAAAACCATAAACCTTCCAGATTTTTTAGCAGTATAGGCAGCCCTTTTTTCTGAGGTTATCGATAGATTGGTTTTCAGCCTTGATTGGAATAAAAGCCAGCTTTTGTGCTTTTTGTCCCTGGGTTCACCTTTAGAAGTGACTGTCCTTGTAAAAATGTGACTAAAGCAGAGAGCCCTGAACATGAGGTCAAAGGACCAGGCTCGGGTTCTAGTTCCTATCTGTGTCACCTTGAGCAAATCACATAACCTCTCTGAGTCTCAGTGTGTTTTTCAATAAAATGGGAATAATATTGCCTGTTTTAGACTATTCCTAAGAAATTATGGTATATATAAAAATGTTTTATACACCATAAAACACTATACAGATATAAATATTATTATTAATGTGTGGCCGTTTGATGAGATATAGGCATTTATCTTTATCTCATAGAAAAAAATTTTGTTGTGATGAAAATTTGTATGTATGACAGGAATTTTTTAAAAGTGTTACTTTGATATCCTTGGGGGATATAATGCTATACCTGTTGAACGTGATCGTCATTAAGGAACCCTCTTTGACAGAACAGCCCATTGGTGAGCCTCTTTCCACATGGGACTGGGTTGGATGGGGCGTATTCTCATGTGACACCGATCAGAGAGCTTGATTTGGCCGATTGGGCCAAATCACTATACCATTCAAGTAGCTCTCTCCCAAAGCTGAAGGAAGTCATCAAAAAAGTTCACAGATACTGGACGCTCTTGCATTGATCAAGGTTGTAAGACTGAATGAGATTCGCTTATTATTCCTTTGGGTGTATGCTAAAGTATAACATCCACATCAAACTATCAGTATAGTCAACATGGAAAATGGCAATTTAAGAGTGGCCCCAAAACCAACCTTAGTCCTCTTGGACTTTTTAGTAGAATACAATGGTAGGTTAACTGTAAAGTTTTATAAGATTAGGTAATTATTTGTCATATAAGGCTTGGGAACTTCTTACAGATGATAAAACCAAGTCTGAGAGGAGTAAGGCTGGGCTTTGTGAAGGTAAAGACAGATGTGACACACGTGGCCCCTGCCTAGATAGGAGTCATACCAGTAGCTCCTTGGATGAGTTTGAAAGTGGATGGAGAGATGAGAAAACAGGCAGAAAGCATTTTTCTTGCCCTTGCATCTTACTAAAGTAATATGGGGTGGGGGGAAGTAATTGTGGTGGACACCATGTTGCTTGTACATTTTCTGCTTCCCTCGCAGCCCTCAGCCTCATCATCTCTCCTCAGTCAGCAGCTCTGTTTTGGATTATGATGTAAATTTGTGATGCTAATCATTTTGTTATAGTAGCGGTAAAAGAATAGCATCTTTCAAAGGGAAAAACTTTTAGCGCTTATTGGTTTCTTTTTCTTAAAAACTATGACATTCAAGAAGGAGAAGATGTAGAAGAGTTAATATGACTTTGGAAATAGCACAGAAGAGAGAAATGGATTCCAGCAGTTGGTCTAAGAATTAGTTCTAGACCACAGCAAGTTTTCACCAGTTTATAGCAAAATGAGATTTTTTTAAAAGTAGAAAGTAGTGACTTTCTCATAAAGCAAATTTTATTAGTTTAAAGGGGTATACTTTTTCTAAGATCGTATTTTTCCTATTTTGGGGTGATAAAAGAGAGGAGAGTTTTATGATAAGATAGAAATAATAGGTAGAAGTTATATATTTATTTTTTCTCTACCTAGAAAAATGACACAATTGGCAGCCCTAATTTGGGCCCCCGGTATGTTTTTTAATATTTTGTTTGTCTATAAGATCTAGGAACTACTGTCTTATGTACTGAATTGGAGAAAGACAGAACAGTCCCCTTATCTGGCTCTGTCATTAATCAGCTATGTGATTTTGAGAAATCACTTGACCTCTCTGTACATGGTGGTTTTTTTTTTGCAAAATGGAAACATGGCACCAGACTCTATATATCCCATAAAATTGTTATAAAGTAAAGTGAGGTCGTATATATTCAAGTGCTTAGGAAATAAAGAGTTCTCTGTAAAAGTTATCATTTTTATACCTTACCATCAGCAAACATGGTTGTCTTTCAAAATTATTGGCCAAAGATTTCAACAAAAATCTGTAAGTTTTTCTATTTGTTAACTTGATGACCACTATTAGCAAATATCATAAAAGAAAGTTTGTTCTTTAGATAAAATCAAGTATATGGAGAATAGTATAGAAAGCATACGATTTTGGCCACTAGTGTCTTCCTAGTAAATAATGAAATTCATCTTTTGAAATTATTGAGCCATTTTTGACAGTTTCAAAAGTGATTTTGTCAAATTGGCAGTTATTGTCTCTTTAAGAATAGCTACTGAGCAGAGGGACGCATGTCCAGAAGACACTTGGTCTGAGAAAAAGGTACATGACCATTTCTAAGTGCCATTTACACCTGGATATACAGAGGGTGCCAAAAAAATGTATACACATTTTAAGAAAGGAAAAAGCTGTACCAAAATTGCCATACTCAATATATACCGGTAACAAAGATGAATACAAGTCATGTGTATAAATTTTTTTTTGGCACCCCTGGTATACTGAGTTAATACCAATCAGATTTCTTTCCTGGATTCCTTCCTATTTCATAAAATTGATGAAGTTACAAGTTAACTGAATAGCTCCATTTAGAAAAGAAGTAAAGTAAAGTAAAGTATGTAAGTAAAGAGTTGATGCTGGGACATTTCAAAGATGGACATCCATGGGACAGTTATCAGACTCATTAAAAAAACTTTCTTGTGCATGACCATCACAGACCAAATACTATGCTGCTTATATAAGCCATTGGCTTGATCCAGTTTGGTATTTCTTACAAGTTCTTGTCCTAGAATCTGTGACGAAAAGGTGACTCTTCCTTTCAGTAGTTATCACTAATAGGTATGACTCTGAGCTATCTATTTTGGTTGAGGTCAGGGGCTTAATATTTAAAACTCTGGGTCATCTGCCTTTTATTCTGTAATTATGATTCTTTTTCTCTGAAGTAATTACCCCAGAATACAGTAGACATAAAACTAATGGAAGGAGTATGATTAACGAAAGAAAAAGGCTGAAAGTGAAATTCTGCAAGGGCAGAAATGCAAGGCTCACTCTCTCCTTTCAATACGTGAACAGGTGGTTTAAGACACTCAAGACAGCCCTACCGTATACACTCAGTGGGTCCACTGAACCTGGCGGCATATCTCTGGAACCATGAGAGAGTTTGTTTACAGTCAGCAGGGTCACCTCTTTGAATAGTCATTTGCACCGTATACTGACCTTGCCCCTTCCATCCTTGAGTAGCCAAACCTTATGAGTCGCTACCCTTTTCTCAGTAGTCATCTCAAGGCCCCCCCAGATCTGGTGTTCCATTTGGTCACTGATCTCATCAACAAGGTGCTGTACTTTCACCAGCCTTCCTGCTGTGAAGAAGAGGAGCTCCATCCTTCCCCCAGGTCCCTGCAGGGTCCCCACCACGGACTAGTGATTGGACATATGTAGAAATAATACATTGTTTATTGAACACTTGATATGGGCCACACACTGTTCTCAATCCTCTGCATTCATCGTGTCTGTAATCTTCACCACAACCCCATGCCGTAGTGGCTCTTTTCTCCTGTTACGGATGAGAAAACAAGGCACAGAGAGATTACGTGATTTGCCCACATTTATAATCAAGGCAGGAAATAGTACTGCTGGACCACCTGAGTCCATGCTTTTAACCAGTAGGCCACACTGACAAATGAATGGATCCCACGCACCTAGGTTTTCCAGAGTGATCTGTTGTGGTCAAAATAGGTCATGTTCCTACATCTATTAATTTCCTTTTCACATAATTTATTCAAAAACTAACTATTAAATACTGCGTGCCATGTGTTGAGGATACACTCGTGAAT